GGCGGACCATGTGTGGATGAGCTGAGCAGGAGGTAAAAATGCAGGCTTCGGATTAAGTAAAAATGGTTTAATGGCAGGATGGGATGAACAGGAACAACACCAACAAACAACAACAATGATCTGACCAAGGACGGGGGCAAAACAGGTGGTATAAATACAGAGGGCTAATTAGGGAAACATGGGCAGGTTAACGAGGGACAGCTGAGAACAATAAGGGTAATCAAGGCAGGAGAGGAACACAGGAGGGCAGGGGCAGAACGTGACAATAACCCAGCAATAAGGGTGGAATACGTTGGAATACGTGGGGGCATGAGAAAATTAGAGGATCTAATTGACAATAGAACAGTGAAATCTTATCAGGACTTGAGGCTACAATTTAACGTGGATAATATAGGTAATTTATGGAGATATTTTCAAATAAGAAGTAGCTTGGACAGTTTGGTTAAGGAGCTGCCTGAAGAGGACAATGTTGTACAGCTCTTATTTAAAATTGGCAGAAAAGTATCAGTCAGCATCTATGTTTTATAAGATGGCAGCTAAAGTATTATATGGAAATTATGATGGCTTAAGGCATGCTTGGCAGAGGGATTTAAGCATAAGGTTGGATAGAGATTCATGGCAAAGGATAATGTCCAATATGGGATGGTTTACCAGGGAAGCACGGGGAAAGCTGACACATTATAAGATAATCCATAGATATTATTTTACACCGGTTCGTCTTTATAAAATTGGTTTAATGAAGAACAATTTATGATGGAAATGTAAAAGGCAGGAAGGTACCTTTATTCATTTTATGTGGTCATGCTATGTTGTTCAACCTTTTTGGAAAAAAATATTGATTACAATGCAAGAGTGGTTGGGTATACCGCTCCTGGAAACTGCTCGACTTAGTTTATTAGGAGACTTATCGTGTGTACTGAATATACTGTATCTACAACGGCAGGGGCCCTGGCTCTTACAGGTTTTATTTCGGCAGCTAGAGTTATACTGCGTAAATGGAAAAGTTTTGAGGCACCTGTTTACAGAGACTGGATAATAACGATGACGGAGATTGCATCTTATGAACTATTAATTGCTAAAATGAAGGGAAAAAAAGACTCAAATTTTGAAACCTGCAATGAATTTTTGTTTTTTTATTGGTAAAAAGTTGTTGGATAGCATGTTTTGAAATGATTATGAATGGTGGTTGTGAGTGGTTTTGAGTTAGCCTGTGCTGTAAGGGGGGTGGGTTATTTTGTGGGGGTGGGGTATTTTGTTTTTGATTTTATGTAAAAATTTGGAAAACTTAATAAAAAAACTTGAATAACAAAAAAAAAATCAAGCGGACTGCTATAGCAGATTTGCAGCGAACGTGTTTTTACCGGGTAAGATTAATGTTAATTTATTTCACGAGGAAGACGGGGACAGGGATAAATGTGATGTGTTTATACAAGTTATTGATAATCCTGATAGATGGGTATTTCACCACGGAGGCTGCGCTCCGTCCACTGTAGTGTAAAGCGAGATAATTATTAACTATATTAAAGCTCCGATATATGATTACGTGTGTAAAAATTACACTATTTATTTATATGAGCGTCGGCGTTCAGAGATCTCATTCCGGTGTGAGAGCAGCAGCTGAAACAGGTGTTGTGCCATAAATCAACTGGCTGCCAAAAAATGATTAGCCACCGTGGGATCGCGCACAGTTAGGGTAATTGCATTTCTAGACAAAATTCCCCAGGATTTCGCCTTAAAACTCAGCATATCTAGCAATATGGACATTCAGAAAGCAGAGGTAACCTCTTCTGGTACTTAAACAGATGTTTATCGCGGATATTAGTTTTTCCAGTTCGGAAGTTGTTTTAAGTGTTAATTTGTCTTAAACATTCACAATGAGGATATATTAATCCTTTTTGCAATATTTGCGATTGAAAGATGGTTTGTGGTAAGAACTGGCTATCTTTATGTTACAGCCTTGATACTAAAAAATAAACACTGTAAAATGGCACCCTGTATTGAATGTAAACGCTGTATAAATGGAAATAAACAATTCTCCAGCGATTCTTTAGTCCACTTGACATGGAGCCACAGTTAACTAGTTTGGGGCACATTTTTACTTGAAAAATAGTATTTAAACTGATCAAGCTTTAGCTTTACAATGACACTGTATACATTACTTTGCTCTATTTAAAAGTAACAAGATAAAAAAAGCACTTCAGCACATAAAATTAAGATTGTCACTTGCCAAATAGTGACTACACCCTCCTGTTTACCTATAAGAAACGCCTCAAAATATCTTTAAATTCTTTATTGATTATTTAATTGTAGACAACTAAAATGGCATTTTACTTGCCAAAAAGTGATTGAATCGCTCAGTTTTTCATGGAGGCTAAAATTGACCAAATAAGGGTTTTATGTATTATCTGTTGATTTTATTGTACTCATACTGTCTACTGTATCATCATAAACACCCCAAAATGGCAACAAAAAAAGATAATTTCCCTTGTCAAAAATTGATCACAGTGTCCTGGTCAAGTGTAAAGGTTTAAATTGACCTAACTATTAATTTATTATCTCTTGATGTTATTAGTCTCATCACAGGATGCTGGGTCTCTTCCACATTCATAAACACCCCAAAAATGGCAAAAAATTATAATTTCCCTTGCCAAAAATTGATCACAGTGTCCTGGTCACCTATAAAGGGTTAAATTTACCTAAATATTACTTTATTTATTATGATGCTGGGTGTCTTCCACAATCATATTCAAATAAACATGAAAATATTCTGTCCGAATATCTGTTTCTTGTTATAAATATAACAGCTAGAAGGATTTATAGTTAAAATAGGAGAAACATTTCAAGAAACCTTTTTCAATTAACCACAGAAATAGGTACAAATATCTTTTTAGGCTATACAAACCATATACAGTGTTTTTGCAGACATGCTTCACAGACATATTCCTCTTTCTTTCCTTTTGGTGGATTACTCAGGCACTTTTGGTGGTACCATCTTGGGCACACATCACATCCAATCTGTTTGAGACAAGAGCAGCATCCTGTGATGGAACTAATAACATCAAGAGATAATACAGAAAGTAAAATTAGGTAAATTTCAGAAGTGACCTCTTGACCCTTGGACTTCAGAGAGACATGGATGAAATGGTGCTTAACAAATGTACAATTTACTGATGAAGTATGTTTTCATAAAAATAATCATTAAAAATTAATTGATGCTGTTTGTATGTTACATCAACAGATAGGGAATGCATGTCTCAGGATAGTCTGGGAGATGGCAAATATTTTTTATGCATAAAAAACAAATTACCATTTTACATTTAAATGTATAAATTCATTTTTTAAAGATTGTGTACATAAATGCAGTAAGCCTAAATAGACATCTTGTAGCAGATTAAGAGGACTTTAATGGTTATTTGTTATTATTTGTGCATTTTCTTTGAAACATCAGTGAGTAAAACAAAATAATATAATGAATCATGAAAAAGATCAATGACTTCAGAAAACAGCAAACAAAAGCATTACAATGTAGTTACCGCTTATCGCCACTGGAGGGAGACAATTACCGTCCTTGTTTCAGTAAAAACTGAGTTTGTAGTACTGTAATGGCTGGGTTTAGCAGTATTTTGTCTCCACACATCGTTTTGAGCTCTGTTACATGTTAAATGTGTGCTTTCAGCTAAATTAAGAGAAAAAAATGTTAGAGCGAGTTTCCCCGTCACTTTTCAGTAATGCTAATGCTGAAATGTCATGGCGTTTTGCTTGGGAAATAATTCAATTCAATAAAAATACCTTATGTTTATGTTTATTTATTTGGCAGACGCTTTTATCCAAAGCGACTTACATTATACCTTAATAATCCCAGAGGGAAATTAAGTGTTGTAACTAATTATTCAAAAGCAATAATACAAAATAATGAATGAAATAATAGTAACAATAATATTCACAAGTAGCAAAAAAACAGTTTCTGACATAACTCACTGAATAAAACATGACAATAAACAGCAGAAGTGTGGGAGGGAGCGGCCATTGTGCTAACATCTAGGGGTGCTCATGATTCCGAATGGCACCGTCCACTGTTGTTGGTGCGACTTTAAATTTCTTTTTAGAAGGTGGTACGGTTACAAATATTTAGAAAGAATGATACAAATACGTGTCAAGAGACAAACAGAAGAGTAAACCATGATAACCGATCTTGGGAATTCTAATTACACCCCACATAATAGAACAGTCCACGAAAGGTCATTCTCTAACCCGAACAGTCAAATTCATTAATTTAAAAAATAAAACACCTTACGATTTATTTTTTGTTTTTAACATTACTGTCATTTTTATTATTTTGTGTGTTTGGTAATATACTTAATAAATAAAAACATCAATTTTAATTTCCGGGTCAAATGTTTCTACATAAATGTCTTTATATAAAGTGCCACTAGAGGTCAGCATTAGAACATATAATTATTTTTAAACAATTGCATTATTTATTTTTTAGAACATATGCCATGTGGAACATTTGTGGTAAACGTATCAAAAATAAATAATACAAACGAAAGGGAAACTATAAACTTCCCCCTGTGAAGCTAATCTATTTACAATAGCTGCTAGACCACTATGTCTGATTTAATTCAAATCAACAGACCATTGATGAGTCCCTTATAAACTTACTGGTCATGTTAGGGTTTGAGTTTATTCTTATTTAATGGCTATCAATTAATGGGATCTAAAACGCATGCTATGATGAAGAAAGGTGTATGGATTGCTGTGAAATCTTCTCTTCTAAGAGCATCAGAAGCAACAAACTCAGATCAGCAGCATTTCGTACCGGTACATACGACACAAATTGTTTGCACACACAATTTGAATTACTTTCCATTTCTGATTTCTTCGAGTTTGTGTAATTACTCTTTTTTTCTTTCTTTTGTCTCCGACCTAACTCCCGTGCTTTTATTTTGAAGTTGCTCATTCTGTCTTGGCTGGTTTGGCTCCACCCATCGTTGAGGTAGCCATGGAGACCGCGCGAGAGCTAGGCAACCCTGCAGAGTTTTCACAGCGTTTCCGCTAACCTAAAATAAAGAGCTAGCGAGCCGGGGACGAGGAGTGACGGAGCGGGACTGGCGGAGCTCGACGACGGAAACACAAAATTTAATCAGAAAATTTCGCCTATTTTGGGTGTCGCCTCTCGAGCTGCCGTGAATGCCTCGAATGTGAACCGGACCGACTGAGGAGAGTTCGCCGCTGGTAACCTTTACGTTGGTGAGTTCTTTTTTTCGCAAGCTAAGCACGATAGGCCACTAGGAGATCTTGTTACTCCGTCTCGGTCCGTGTGTACGTATTTATTAAATAACAATAAACCAGAAACCAAGTTATAGTTAGTGGAATATCTTCTAATTTATCAGCGGGAAACGTTTTTATGTATCTTATGAGGTATAGAAACTACGTTAGCCGTGACCTGCTGGGATGTTGACGTTCAGCAATATTTTAATAATCCTCGGCACTTTGTAGTGTATAAGTTCTAATCTTGAACAAACCCATGTCAGAGTAATCATATAAACACAGTTAGAACGTCTTTAGCAGGTTGTCAGTCCCTTCAACAGCTGTGACGATACTGTGTTGTTACACAGCAGGTCACATGAACAATAAAAAGGTACCAGGAAGTCAGGTGTGTGTCGATATCGGTGGTGACTCGGTGAACCAAAACCTAAAGACTTGATTGAACTTTGTTAGTTTGTGTGTGTGTGTGTGTGTGTGTGTGTGTGTGTGTGTGTGTGTGTGTGTGTGTGTGTGTGTGTGTGTGTGTGTTTTGGCAGCCCACTGCACTCTTTGTTTAAATAGCTCGCAGTACAGTTGCACGTGTCAAAGCGTGTGACTGCTTTAGGAGGACTAGAGAGCCCATCGCTAGTTTCATACAGTTTCAGGTTTTGGGGCTCTTTTTGTTCATTTTTCAGAAGTTCCCTCTGATGATATTTGCAAGCCAAAACCTTTTTCTCCAGCACAAGTTTGAGCTGTTTGTGTAAAAGGTGACGTTTGCTGTTGCACAAGGCAGGGAAATCCACATGTGGATTGTTTACTCTGAGTACAAAGTCAGGAAGGGGAGACATTTTTGTTACTTTTAGGGTGATCATATACTACACCGAAAAGTAAGCCATGCAGGCAGCATATCTTCCTATAATAATTAATCAAATACCTAAATCATTAAAATCAAATCAAAAATGATCCTGTGGATAATTGTCCCCTTATGAGTGAACCTTATGAGTGAACCTTATTGAAAACATGTTCCTGTGTATTAATGACTTATTTTTACAGAAGTAACCCTTCCCTTTTCCCATTGTTGCCTTGTTCTGTGCAAATCCAGTCTGTTGCGATTCTGGAGGAAGTACGAGTTTACCAAGTTCCTCATACCGAGTCACTTTGGTATTTAGGACACTTGCTGCATCTGTGGTTGATCTTGTTGTCTTGTTTTGCTTTTAATCACCTTCACCTTAGCGCAACTCTTCAATCAGCCAGGGCGAGAGCTAAGGTGCTGTTTGTTTGTTGCTTTTCACGGTTTTAACATCAAGACTGGGAAGGAACCCGGTTTCATAAAGGAATGAAAGTCAGGCAAAGGAAGAACTGGTATTCTGGTATTGATTTAAGTCATATTCTATTAAAGTCCAGCTGAGCTCCTTTCAGCTTGTGGTCTCCTTATGTTTTTTTTTTTTCTTTAACCCTCTGCTCTTTCCAGTGTTCCTGTCCCTTCTTGCAGCAGTACAGAGGGATGCTGAGTAGCTCTGGGGCCTAACAGTGCTTGATAACAAAGAGTCCTTTCTGTGCTGCCATGCAGAGTCCTGTCTCTGGACTCCCTCCACAGGCCCACACAGGCTCTACCAGCAGCAGTAGCACTGGGGCCTTTTAGGTGGAAATCTTCTCTTGGCTGTTTCTTTGGCACACTGTGCTCTCTGTTCCCGGACACTTGCCTGCACCGCTGCTCCATTGGCTCCTTTTGCATTCCAGGAGCTTCGGGCAGCTGAAAAACTGCAGTAGCAGCCTGCTGGCTGGCTGCTTGTCATGCTGGTATCTTAAGTGTGGAGTTGCACAGCATTTTTTTTTCCCCAAGTGAAAGATTTACTGTGAAAAGTATTTATACATTTAAAATGTCTTTTATTCACCAGGAAAACATAAAAGCTAGATGTTAGATATTAGCTTTCTTAAAATTAATAGTAATCTTTTTTACATTTATTTGCATGATAAAGCATTTTATTATGAGACGTGGCATGTATTGAGTCAGTTATACTGATGAGTGAAGTTCTCACACTGTTTTTAGTTCAATACACCTGCACATGCAGTGGACTAAAACCTGCTGCTAAGTTCCAGTTGTTTTTAATGGCGCCTTGCTAGCCTGACCAGTAAAAGAAGAGGAAAGAAAGAAAACAATCTTTTATAAAGCGCCTCTCAAGATAAAAAATCACGAGCGCTTCACAAAAACAGAGCTAAAATTATTTAAAAAAAATTTTTTTGATTATTTAAAAATAACGAGAGTGTGTCTGTTTTGTTTAGGAGACCAATAAAGTGATGAAATAAGATCTGATCCCCAGTCAAGTAGAGGGTTAAACAGTATTTATTTTAAAAGTTGCATGTGGTTTTTAAAGCCTTAATTAGTTTTTGTTCTTTACTAGGGCTGCAACTAACGATTATTTTCATAATCGATTAATCTGTCGATTATTTTTTCGATTAATCGATTAATCGGTTTGTTATTGTTTAGCTATTTAACCTATACAAAAGATGAATACATTTCAGTTAAGAAAAAGAAAAACATAAGAGAATTGTGCAGTTGACTGCAATCTATTTTATTGCACATGAACACAGTCAGCGGTGTAAAATGAGCTAAACAGTGCAAAATATCAGTCCAGAATAATTTTTTGGCATCAAAATATAAGAGGTAAATTCCATAAAAAATAATGTAGAATCTGGAATAGAGTTTGTAAGTGGTATGCATTGCTGGGGGTGAGTGTCTTGTTCCCCATGTAGTTGTCCATCGTTGCTTGTTTTTTTCTGCATAAGAAACACAAATAAAAAAGAATTAAGTACACATATAAAATAAAGCAGCACACACACTACAACACTAAATCAATATTACATTATTTGAATTAACTAACAATATACAGTGATCATTTAATTTGACAAAAATGTGTTGTGAGGCGTTTTACGGCGTTAGATAGTAAAACAGCCTTTTAATAGTTAAAAAAAGGACTTTCTGAATTTCTCCTGTATTTAAAAATTGAAAGCGTACAACTATGCCGCGTTATATTCACCTGGACACAGCTCGTCTGTATATTTTTCACCGCGGAGTTGTCCTTTTTTGAATGAGGAACATAGTTATGGGTTTGTGCCGTTTTTCTCTTAACAAGAACATTCTTATAAACAGACGTGCTGAATTTGGCAAGCGCATGATTCACAACACGGAGGAGATTCACGATTGCATCTAGTCAATCAGAAGTAGAACACCGTAAACTGACGCGGCAAAAAAAAACATGTTTAACATCCACTATAACGAACTCAGCTAACACTAAGTCCCAAATGTGATCTGCGTTAGCTTGTTTATTTTCTGTTACTTACCGGACATTCCTCTGCTGCATCAGCCTCCACGTTTTCGTCTCAAATGTTCACTTAGGGACGTTGTGCTTCCGTCGTGCCATGGTTTTTGCATATTTTGCAGGTCACCGGTCTTTTCAAGGCATCTAGTGAAGTGCTCCCATACTCATGAGGTTTTTGTCCGGGGTTTCTCTTGTTTTGTCGCTTCTATTTTTCTTCCGTATTTCTTGTTGATCCGCCATCTCTCACAGCAAGATGAGCGTCAGTAACGTGATACGTCATGAAAACCGAGGGCACTTATTGGCTCATTTCTTCTTCTACGGCTCCACTGGTAGATCAGTGGCTCATTACTGCCACACACTGGCGGCAAATTTAACAGATTGTAACCGATGTCAGATTGTGGTAAAAAATAGACTTTATGCGGTAAAATATGATTATTAAACAACTAATCGATGACTAAAAAAGTTGTTAACTATTTTAATAATCGATTATAATCGATTAAATCGATTAGTTGTTTCAGCTCTATTCTTTACATACTTAAAACATCTTCATTATGGGACTTTTTGGGGGGGAATTCAAACAAGGAAGTTGACCTTTTACCCCATCCATACCCGTTTGCATGGCTTTTTTAGCACTGGGGTTGGGTTTGGTCAGTTAGAGTAATCTGGATGAAAATCTTTTTAAATCTAAATTTTTCTCTTGTCTTTAAATATTGAAGTTGCTTCGCTGTTGACCATAAAAGTAAAATTGAGTTTAAAATGACCTGGATATGTTGCATGGACCAATGGCTGCTGGCGCTAGGCACCAGCTCCCACTACCCTGCACAGGCTCAAGTGGTATGGAGAAGGTCTAGATGAAGGAATATGCTGTTATAAAACTAATGTCGACCATTCAGTACAGCGTTGTAGTTAGACTTGATGCAACTTGCTTTCCAGAGAAGAAATCTGCATGAAATAGTGAAGTTCTCTAATAGCACCCCACACTGATGTGATGTGTCAGGCTCAACATGCTGTCTGTGCCTCGACAGGAAAACCAAAGTTGCAGGAAGAATTGACTTGCAGGCTTAAAGCCTGCTGCTGCTCTCATTATGAAACACTGCTGTGTTATAATTCATTAACATCATAAAAGCATCATAAGGTCAGCAAAAGGTCTGAGGTATCTTGCTATAACAAATGTAATGGGCCGCTTTAGCACAGACTTGTGGGTAATGACAACTCTCAGGCTGTGTGGCATGAAACCACTTAAACTAATTCTGCTTAAGTTTTCACTTTGCAGATGAGCTGGTGGGCCAAGACTCTGTCTCCAGCTTTTTAAAGGAAGTCGATCATGAAATATATTCCGTTTACCTTCACCCAGCTACGGGGTCTTTTTGGCCATCTGTTGACTTTCATTCATCTTTGCAGTTTCTCTGACTTGCTTTTTATTTAAAGCACCTTGAAATCTTGTAAACACCGAAGCCCTTGCAGCCTTTGATCCCAGCATGAAAAATGAGGAAGTACTGATAGATTAAACTTCTAGCTCAGGTCCCTAGCCTGGCCTGTCCTGTCGACTAGCTGAGTACAGTAGCCAAGCTGTCCTGCCAAAAGGTGAACCTCTTTGTTCTTCTATTGGGGTCATCAGAGGGGTGACTCATGGTGCTGAGGTACTTATGGCTGCTTTATAACATTCTGAAACCATTAAAGCATTGTGTCCTAATTGGCATGGCTGTCACCTCAGTTATGTGTTTGTGAAAAATAGTTTGTTAAAAGAATTGGCTTCCCATCTTTTCTCAGGAATGATGTGGACCGTTGTTCATCCTTCCAAACCCCATGGACGGCTGACCACACACACACACACCATCTCTTCACCACACCATTAAACCCGGAAGTCCACCTAACTCATTCGCTGCCAGCGTTTCTTGTCGTTTTTACAGTTTTTTTTAAGAGTGACACAAAGTTGAGCGCTAGGATGATGTCGACGGCAAAACAACCAAAACAAAGCGGAGACTCACCTCTTACATCAGGAAGAATCAGCACGTTTCGAGCGTTATCTGTTCTTTCATAATCCGTTGTTGAATTGTGATCGGCAGAAGCTTTTCCGGTTCGCGCCTCACTTTTTCTAGAGCAGCGGCCCAAAACGATCTCCTAACACATGGATGTTCTGCTTCCCGATCACGTGACGTGTGATGTATGCGGATGAAGATCGGTTTCAGAGCTGAGATGTTTGTTCTCACAGTGCGGGGGCTCGTTCCAATGCCTACTAGGGTTGTCACGGTGTGAAAATTTAACCTCACGGTTATGGTGACCAAAATTATCACGGTTTTTGGTATTATTGCTGTATTTTTTTAAACGTGTTACATTTTCAGACAACTAAATAAACCCTGTATATCAGGAAAATATCGTCCTCGGTTTGTGTCCTTCCAGTGAGCTTTGCAGATGTGGGAAAATTTCATCAGGCAGTAATCATTGTTAAATTCATAATTATTCTCTGAGAGAGACCAACTCTTATCTGCCCCTGGGAGCCCCGTAATGCATAGCGTCATTTCAACATGGGGGTGTCCGCCACCCGGTTTATATGCAGGTAGCGGCGCTGCGGCTGCTTTATATAGCGACTCATTGCATTCTCCTTCAACCCAAATCCTCGGATCACGCATTTTAGCTAAAACGCTAACACTAACTTGCCTTGCGTTGACTGTAGAGTTGTGGGTGATGGTCACGCAGATGTGTCATGAGGTTTGAAGCGTTGCTGCCTTTCACAGACACTTTTTCTGCACGTGCTGCAAACAGGATAGCCGTCTTCTATCAGCTGTCCCTCGGCATTCTTCAAATATTAAAAAAAAAATGCCCGTACTTCCCACTTTGTCTTCTTTGAGGGATAATAAATGTCCTGAGCGCTGCCGTCTCCTCCTTTGGCCATTATTTCAGTTTTAGCCTCAAGAAAGTTTTGGTTGTAAACAACAAAGTGCGCATGTGCCGCCGGCAACTTCAGCAGATGATACGGTGGCTGGTAAGGGTCAACGCACCTACACCGCAGCCACGGTAATCCACCGAGATAATATATATTTTTTAAAAACAAGACGTTTATTATTATTGTCAACTTTTTTACCGGGGTTTACTGCTACACCGGTTACCGTGACAACCCTAATGCCTACACAGTAAAAAAAAAATGCAAATGACGACTTTAGTCGTCAATGGCAGTGAATGAGTTAATATGTCAAATGTCAGTTTCTTCCTTTCTTGGTGGCTAAAGCCGAAGCCGTCTCCTCCATATTTGTTTGGTCCCAGCAGAAATCGTGGTGAGATGGCCAGAAGGTGCCTCAGTCCGGTTTAAAGTGTTTTGTAGAAGGAGCTAGTGATGTTTTGCTGTTGCATCTACTTTTATGGTAAAAGATTTCTACGGATAGATCTTGTGTCAAAGCTAATATTAGGGACTAGAGTCGGATGAGGACACTGATGGATGCTGCCACTAGTTGATGTTGTCATTGGAGCACATAGAAGACTAAATAAAGGTATTATCCTTTATACGGTTCATGATATTAGCAAATCGGCTGCCAGGTGATGGAACGCATTTTCTTAAGCCGGGTGTACACTGTGCGACTTTTTCACTTTTTTGAGCCGATTTTCCACTCGTACGAGAATCTACAAGATCAGGGCGAGTCTTGCGCTGAGCGTCGTGTAGTGTACAGGGGGTTACGAGAGGCGATTAAGAAGAAGAAAAGAAAAAGAAGAAAATATCATTTCTATAGCGCCTCTCAAGATAAAAATCACGAGGCTCTTAACACCACGTGACCAGCTACCGATCAGCAATCGTGAGCTCGCACGGACTTCTGGAGTGTTTGATATTTTGCTCGTTCCTCGTGAGGGTTCAAGTGGCGCAGCGAGCGGCTGCGACCCAATAAGTACCAGAACCGCTCACGGCGCATGCGCAATCATGCATCAACACCGCTCACCCGCTATTTCCCTAACAACACACGTTCGTTTTTATTTATACACGTTTTTTTACTCACAAAGATTGTCAAGAAAGCGTGTTTGTCGTGTTCATGTCAAATTAAACTGATCACAAAACACAGATTTACTTTCTTTATTTCGTTTTCCTCATCAAACCCCCATAAATCCCTGTTTGTCCTCCTGCAGCACTCCTGAAGGACAACAGGCAAAACAAGACAAAAAAGTCTGACGTGTTGTGTAAAAACTGCTATTTTTAGCATATTTTTAGGTCCGACGCGTTGCTACCAGACGTACAGTGTGAGCAGTCAGGTCGCATCCGAGAACTGGGTCGTACAGTGTGAGCACATGACTCGAGGAAGTCGTACAGTTTGAGCTGAAGCTGAGTGCTACGAGTGAAAAAGTCACGCAGTGTCCGCCCAGCTTTAGGTATACTTGTTTTCCTAACTATCTGCATGGCTGTCCGTCCCTATTCCCTTCATCTACTCTGTTGCTTCTGGTTACATAATCCGCGTCTAATGTTGATGGTAATCCGCACTCTACCTCCCCCTCCCTCTCTATGCCTTCCTCTCAATGTGGCCCGGATAGGTTAAGCCGTAGAGGACTCTCCCTGGTTGTGGAAGGGAAAAGATGTGCGATGGAATGGTAGCGTTTCCGACGAGAGCCCTGTCCTCCGCCCCCTCCTCTGTGGCCCACAGGCTGGCAGCCTCCGCGCTTCTCCTCCTCTTCCTCCTGCTCCCTCATGGTCATGCATCAGGTAAGTCACACACACGTTTTTCCCTTTTGTAGTCTCAGATGACACACACAGAGTAAACCACCATCTCCTCCCACCTCTTGTGCGTAGATTGAGGTTTACCCCCCTTGCCTTGCACCACAGTTAGATTAAATGGTCCTCCTTCACCCTTGGGTTGGTCAGGTTGCTTCGGCCTCACAGCAGCAGCAGCAGCCGAGATCTCAATCTTACACTCTGTGAACCTATTCAGCGTCCAAATGAGTCACAACAGTTTTCCATTGCGATTGAGTGAAATGAGGGATGATATTGCCTCTGGTCACATATCCGCCATCAGGACTGATTCAAGCATGAAACTCACTTTTCTTTGGAAGCTTTTATCACAGCTAGCCAGCTTGGATTATTAACCCTAACTGGTTTTCTATTTTAGCTTCGAGCTTATACGGTTGCCATTAAAACAGAAGTATCATGTTCTGCTTTTTTATTGTTGGGAAGTTTAAATTACACACAGACTTGAAGTAAACCCTCCTTATTTACATAAGCGCCCTGCAAACATGCAGCTTCCACAGACACGTGCACTCTCCACACACAGCCCACTTGTGTAATCTGCCAGATGTCCTTGCCACAGAGATCAAGCAGAGTGTGTGAAAATGTGTTTGCTTTAAAACTTCCCAAAGCTGCTGAGCCATAATTGATTTGCCTTTCCTTATTGTTTTAAATTGTTGGGCGTTTATGGGTGTGTGGATCGGCAAAGGTCAAATCAGAAAATTAAGGGATGAACAGAGAGGAGGAGGAGCTACTTCTGTGTCTTATGTAACTCCCGTGATTCACGTCGAGGCCAGATGAGCTGGTAGCATGCTTACTCTCTACATTTGATGTGCACTCACGCTTCGACATTTGTGGGCCTGACCCGTACTTCACACTGGAAGCATCAGCGGTGCAGAACAGTTTCCTTGCGACAATCGCAGCGCTGCAGCTCACACCGAGAGAGCCTCCGCAGCGAAGCAGATTCTCTGCCGTGCTCCTCGCTCGACTTGTGAGGTCTCAAGATCCCTCGAGACTTCAAAGGTTACGGTTTGTTTATGCAATCCAAAAAGAAGTACATCACGTTTGATATCGCTGTTTGGTGTCATATATGATGTTGTTCCTCTCCACTGCCAGGAATAAAGCCATGAAATCACACCGCTGCACTTCTGGAACGATACTGGGGGTAAATACTAAATAAATATGAAATTGCATTGTTGTAGTACTTTTATTTTGAAAATTACCCTTGCTTTAGTAGCGCGGCATGCCGCTTCAGAGACGTGTCTGAAAATTGCGGCGTTGCAGCTGGTTTGTAACATTCCATAGACCATTATAGGGCTTCACGATATCAGGAACCTACGATATTTGATAACAATGATTATTATTGCGATGACGATATTACTTGCAATAAATATAAACTTAACTCAGGAACAAAAATAATCAAAAACTAAGAAATTCAACAATTCATTAAAATGAGAAAAGCAAAAATGTGAGGAAAGGGAAAAAGAAAATGAACAAGAAAAGGCAATCAGTGGATCCCGGGAAAAGCAGAATCAGCAAAAAGAGCAGAACAAAGCTAACTCCGGTGTTTGCTAACCATCAAAATTAAGTGCCGTCCGCCTCGGAGGCGGGACTCTAACCTATGAGAACCCACCCATTTGGCCAAATGGGTGAAGAGCTCTATTTGATTTGTTAAAAAAACAAACATAATACTTCCTTTTGACTGACAGAATGCATTATGTGTAGCAAGCATTAGAGCTGACCATTCATTGCAATATTTATCTGTCCTTTGCGATATGCATATTGTGCATGCTGATATTGCGATAACGATATATTTGATATATTGTGCAGCCCTAGACCATAATGAACTCTATTTAAAGCCGTGCCGTTCGGCTGCCTCTGATGTTTCCAGTGTGCAGTGGGGTGACACTGCACAAAACGATCCACCAATCACAATCACTCTTAAGCAGTTTGAGAGGGCAGACCACAACAGGTCCACGTGAGAGTTTGTTGTTGTCATAAATTCATTGACTGTTTGATTTAGTCAACATTACACTGCGCCATGATTAGTTCAAGTTACACAGGAGAACAAGGACGGCAAACTCCATGCAGCATGGCCGCAGCTAGGATTCAAACTTACAACCTTCTTGCAGCGTGGCAACAACAATACTGCCAACTGCACCGCCGAGTTTCCCAACAGAACAAAAGAGAAATACACAAGAACATATTAAATACACTAAATGTACTGTAACTTTTTTACACGCATCGCTAATTTATGACTTCTCACAGGCTTTTTTGATGACCAGAGGGTTGCAGGTTCAAACCCTGCTCAGTCTGTCGCTTTCGTTGTGTCCTTGGGTAAGACACGTTACCCTCCTTACCTGCTGGTGGCGCCAGTGTCGAGCAGACTCGCTTCCATCGCTGTTCCCCAGGGCAGCTGTGGCTACAATTTAGCTCATCACCACCAGTGTGTGAATGGCTGTTTGGTTGTAAAGCACCTTGGGGAGTTGTAGAACCCTAGAAGGCACTTTGTAAACGGAGATCATTTACCATTTTACCAGGCTTAAGCCTGATTTATGCTTCTACGTCTGCGTCAGTGCGGAGACACGCAACGCCATTATCCGTCCTTGCGTAGGGCTCCGGCAGGCACGCAAGTACGTACGGACTCGAGCCCACTTTTTTAAAGATCCGTCGAATGAAACGGATTACGCAAGCTTGTGATTGGTCAGGACGCCGCTGTTGTTTACAGCGCCGCCATTGCAAAGAGAGCCGAGGATAACTAGTGGCAGACACGGAGAAGCTTGAAGAATACCTCACGAAAAAACTCTAAAAATATGAACGTTTGATTCTCCCGTGACTGGAGGAGTGAAAAGATGCGCAGCAAGCATTTTATTTGTTGACGGAAATGACAGGAAACGTGGGTTTAGAGGCGGGGAGCGCATGAAGCGGTGGGAGAATGAGAGACAAATATGTCCGTGTTAAAAGTCTCTTATATACACAAAAAACACAATATAAACACACGATCTTGGACCGATACATGACAGGATACCACAGAACAGCGCTACGCCCTCTGTTGTCCTGCCGGGCAATTGCTTTGCAACACTCTCCAGGAGACGGAGAAGTAAAAGAGCAAAACGCTTCCGTCAATCCGTGCGTGTCTGTCCCTTGCGGAGCTGACGGAGAAGCATAAACCAGGCTTAAGGACAAAAGTGTCACTGACCAATGAAGGAGAGGCTGAGGAAGTGTGTGACGATGTCATTATTATCTATGTTTGTGATCATGAACTGTGGTTGGAAGAAGTCATAAAAGCTCAAAGCCAGAATATTTTTAGACCCAATTACAGTCCAAGTTCCATCTTTTTATCTGTGGTTCAGCTGGTCATCGTAAACAAGATTACCAGCAGGATATCTGCTGCGTTAGTCCCAATGGCTTTCTCAGATCTGTGCTTGTGATTGCTGCCAACGATTACATTTATGTTTATGAACCCGTCCTAACACAACATCCTGTTCACTGACGCAGAGTGTCGGGGAACAATTGTTGTACGTTTTGTGTCTCTCCAGGATAAAGGGGTGGGGGGGGGAGGCTTGTCTCATGTTTTCTCACCATATTTCACGTTGACTGCTAAGCGCTTACTCCCTAATATGGTGTAAATTCCTTACAGTGTGCGGTGTGTTTCTGAGGAAGTAAGCCCAGCCTGTGAGTCAGAACTGGGAAGGGGAATAATGGGAACTCATAGCGCTATTCACATGATAGCACAGCATGGGTTCCGCTCCCGCAGGGCTCCACAGAGCATCCAGACCGTCGTGCTGTAACCAGTTAGATAAACGTCTAAACCTCGTTCTCTGAAGTGGAGCTAAAGCTGTCCATGAAGCAAAGAGCAGAAATCTCCCACGCTGTGTTCATGTGGGAGAATGGGAAACGGCTGTAGGGTAAAGAAAATAGCCGAGGGAAAGCCAAGCAGAGGGCTGCCCTTCTGTTGTGATTTATCTTTGTTTTTGACCGGGGTCGATGCGTTTTTTAATTTTTTGTTTTTGTGCCTCACCGCAGCATATTACACGATACATCTTTTGATTCATGAATCATATCACAGGGCGTTCCAAGCTTATGGAGTTGGTTTTTTCCTCTAATGTCGACATCGGGAACAAGATTTGACAGCTCTTCTCTCTCTCTGTGTAATAACAGAGTAGATTCCCGGAGCTAACGTCACCTCTTTGACCACAGAGGAAAGTATGTGAATGAACCAAGCCCTGCTTCAAGGACACGCTGGGAATACGCAGAAAAGCAAAGTTTACGAATCAGCTTCCAGCTGTTGTCGGTCTGGGTTTACCAACGCTGCAGCGTGAGGGAGAGAGGAGGAGAGTCGGGAACCATTCCCTTAAGTCCCATTAGCCAGGAGCTCTGCATGTGGGCAGAACCAAATCAACACACTGGCTTCAGGAGATTTTCTGAAATCGGAGAACAAAAAGTGCATTTAGCGGGGGTATTTGAGGCCACAGCAAGCTGTAGCTTTACTGGATCGCCCGTCAGCAATTAGGTCTGCTAACTCCGAGTGTTTGCAGAGCGGAGCCCCCTTTTCTGTAATGTCTCTCTCCCTCTCTCTCTTTCTCAAAGGCCTGAGCCATTAGTCAGGTGATCCTGGCGGCCATTAGCAGAGGCATGGTCGAATCCATCAGGTCCTTGCTTTTATTACCTGTGTGTTTATCACTTCAACCATCAATCTCTGCTTTCACCCCTGTGTCTTTTAACAGCGCTGGCAACCAATCAAAGCCCAGAGGGAAACTTTAAACGGGTCGTCAAACAAAGGAAACAGATGCTGCAGTGCGGACAGGTGACGCACGAGCATTTTATTCACTTTAAAGTGTCATCCAGATTGTCCTGTCACTGGAGACCATCACACACACACATGGTCAAGATTAATGTGGGCTACACCCCCCACCCCCCCAGCATGTTAACACAACTTTCCTGGCCATTTTGCTCTTTGTAGCCTCCTTATTCACATAATT